CTCCCCCCCCCCCCCCCAAATAAATAAAATATTTTGTATAATACATAAAATAATACTATTATATTGCGGATTTTATTACAAATAGTAAATCATACTCAATAACTACTTAATTCTTATTGCAATAACTTTGATCGCATCGATCACCAATTTCCAATTTACAAATGCCCCATGCCAAACTGATCGACTTGTTTTGAAATTAATCATAATGTTGCATCGGTTCGAAATATCCGAAATATCTTGAATGCGCGCGACACAACCGGCACTCGCCTACCACGTTATAAATAATAAATTCTCTTTTAAAAAAGAATTTTAATATCATTAATATCAACACAGAATTGAACTATACACAAAACACAGATCAGATGTCAGTCGCCGTAATCATAAATATGTCCGCACGGAATAACATCCATCGCGAGACTAAGATGGCGGCTCTTCACACAAGATGTCCGCCACAACCTGGTTTAAACAAACCCCCGGCAACGCGCTTGGAGACGATCTCTCGGAGACGGGCATACTTTCGATACAGAAATGAAATCCAGAGACGCAACAATAAGCTTAGCATGCCCGATCTGAAATAAAATTTTGCAAAAGATTATTAGAAATCATTATCAATATATTAATAAAAATATATGACTTATAATACGACCCGGGCATCTTAAGTTTTTATATGTCACTTTAATCTTAATCCTTTTCGTTCCGGGCCTATCTGGTAAAGTTTATGATTAATTTCAAAATTAGTGGATCAGTTTGGCACGGGGCACTTTTAAATTTGAAATTGGTGATCGATGTGATCGATGTTATAACAATAAGGGTTAAGTATAGTTTTATGATTTACTATTTGTAATAAAATCCGCAATATAATAGTGCTATTTTTTCCATGTATTATAATTTTCTGCGGTTAACGATTCAATCTTCATAGTCGCCAACATTTTTTATTATCACCTTGTATTATCTTTTATTGTCTAAATTTTATTTCGCGACTTCTTCATTCTTGCTTATTGAGTTTCACACACAATAGTTTTCCTGTATACACGCTATGTTACACATCGCAACCATATTTTCGTCGAATTTTTCACTCGTGATCGCAACTAGATTTTCAACATTCACGTTATGCGCACTCTGGGCCCATTACCTGTTATCAGAGTAAAGCACAACGCAGTAAATTCAAATACAATTATAACGTAATTTATTAGTGCGAGATTATACAATTACATGTTATTAACTTGTACCGCCATATTGAGAACAGACAAAAGAATGATGGAATAGAGAAATCAATAGATGAATAAAATATCGCGGCTTGCTAATTCGAATGGAGCTACTTCGTATCTCCAACAACATCCCTCCCCCCCCCCCCCCCAAATAAATAAAATATTTTGTATAATACATAAAATAATACTATTATATTGCGGATTTTATTACAAATAGTAAATCATACTCAATAACTACTTAATTCTTATTGCAATAACTTTGATCGCATCGATCACCAATTTCCAATTTACAAATGCCCCATGCCAAACTGATCGACTTGTTTTGAAATTAATCATAATGTTGCATCGGCGGGTCAATTTCGAAATATCTTGAATGCGCGCGACACAACCGGCACTCGCCTACCACGTTATAAATAATAAATTCTCTTTTAAAAAAGAATAAAATGAATTTTAATATCAACACAGAATTGAACTATACACAAAACACAGATCAGATGTCAGTCGCCGTAATCATAAATATGTCCGCACGGAATAACATCCATCGCGAGACTAAGATGGCGGCTCTTCACACAAGATGTCCGCCACAACCTGGTTTAAACAAACCCCCGGCAACGCGCTTGGAGACGATCTCTCGGAGACGGGCATACTTTCGATACAGAAATGAAATCCAGAGACGCAACAATAAGCTTAGCATGCCCGATCTGAAATAAAATTTTGCAAAAGATTATTAGAAATCATTATCAATATATTAATAAAAATATATGACTTATAATACGACCCGGGCATCTTAAGTTTTTATATGTCACTTTAATCTTAATCCTTTTCGTTCCGGGCCTATCTGGTAAAGTTTATGATTAATTTCAAAATTAGTGGATCAGTTTGGCACGGGGCACTTTTAAATTTGAAATTGGTGATCGATGTGATCGATGTTATAACAATAAGGGTTAAGTATAGTTTTATGATTTACTATTTGTAATAAAATCCGCAATATAATAGTGCTATTTTATGTATTATACAAAATATTTATTTGGGGGAGGAATAATATAATTTTTTAATAAAAATAAAATGCATTTTAATTTTCTCGAGAGAATCTATAATATTTCTATAAATGCAAGATTGATTTTATGACAAATATTATTTCAAATTACAAATCCTCACAAACTGAATTACTTCTAAGTACTTGGCTAGTTAACTATTGATTTCATATTTAGTGTTGATTTGTGATTTTTTAGGGATTTTTTATTTTTTTATAAGTTATTTTTTAGAGGTAAATATTTTTTTAAACTTTTTGTTGCGTACAAGTTGGGATATTTTTTTATGTATTTGGCGTACTTTCTTACCTTTTTATAATAATTTGTGTATAGCTTTTTTAGTTTATAACAACATATTATATTACACATAAATTATATTATTATAGATAAATAATGCAATTGATAATTACACTATTACACATAGATAGATTATCTTATTATTAATTACATACACTTTTCTAGGCATTTTCTAATTGTGGAGTTCAATACTATGTCATTGTACAATTACCAAGGTCGTTTATTGGGTACTCCAAGATGGAAAGGATTTACTGAAGAACCACTGTATACTCCTTGCTTATCATTGTGTGCAGATACCTTGGTCATAAGGAATCAAACTAATGAAAAATGTAAGATATACATTGTCTTATTAATCAGTTTCTTTGAACTAATTTTTTCCACGACGTACTAGAATTACTATCTGTTGCGCAACATTTGAATTATAGTTAGTGTTTTCAATACGATTATATCAAGGTTTTTAAGCAATTTGTTTATATTCAAAAGGTTAGAACCTATGCACTAAATAAAAGACTTGTGGTTTGTTCACAAAATGTATTTAAACCAAGATAGTACAGAGATTTTTCTGTCTTATGTGTTTCGTGACGTACACGATTACTAAAGGTCGGAAGCGACCAACTGATGTTATCGCTATCAATTTATACAATATTATTAGACTTTAGGAAAGGGATTCAGAGATCCCGATCGCAACACAATTCGGTCGCGAATTGTGTTCTGTTTTTTGGTTTACACATGTGTTGATATATTACAATAACTCAACTCTCTTGATATTTATTTTCTGAACGTTTGGTCAGTTTTTTAAGAACTTGATCATGAACTGTTTTCTTTTATTTATTGTGTATTATTATAATATTGATCTCTATAATATTAATCTTTACCATTATGAGTTATGGCAATTGTATAGAATACTATGCAAATAAAATTGTTTCAATTTTTTTACTTGTCATAATTTTAGAACAAAAAACTGTAAAATTTTATTTTTAATTAAACAAAAAACAATATTAATTTTTACATATTAATTAATGAAAACAATCTATGGGAACGAATGTGTCTTATGATTACAATCAGTCACATTCACAAATAACTCAAAAATTTTTTGAAGATTGAGAATCGTTAGGTAATGATCTACAAATGTGTTGATCATCTCTATATACAGAAGGGCTAATCTATCATAATATCTTATCTGTAAAAGTAATGTGGAAACAGATCAAATTATAACACGTATTTCTGTAAGATTTAGTAAACGAAAATATAATGACGAGATATTGATTTTGATCGATTTTGATTTTTGACGTTACAGTACAACTTTTTTTTATCTTGCGTTATTAGATATAAAAATGCTATGCATGCATATTGACTATAATATGTTCAGCATGTTGAAGTTGGTTAATTATAGCAGTGGATGCCTAGCATGTGCGCAAGCTGTTGGCAATCACTACGCGCACTCTCTTAGTAACTCTTTGCATTGTAAATTACACTTTTATCAAAGTTATGAATATGTCTTTCTACTCCGCGGACCTGGGTAGTATAGCGGCTGAAATGTTGTCTGCGTTTTTATCTCTTCTTTGACAGGACAACTGATTTGAGACATTTCGTGATGATGTATTGATTGCCTTCTTATCAATATTAACTGTAAACAAATAATTATTAATCCATGCTGATATTTTATATAAATCCGAGTATGGTGATTGGAAAGCTCTTTCGAAGACATCTTCTCGCATCTAGGCATGCAAGTAATTGTATAGATTCTGTGACAAAGGCTATATTAGAAAAGTTGTGCTAGCGGTAAATTTTCCTTATGCGCTCCTTGTGTCTCTTTATAAAGTTCTTTTAGATCTGTAGGTGCGACTTCCTCTTTCTTCCTTGAAAAAAATACACAGAGTAACGTCATATAGTAATTTCGTGAGCGATTCCTTAATATCTTCTTTTTAACAAATACGTCTAAGAGAATGGAAGTATTAAACACAATTTGATGCCAGCAGTCGAATAATCCATTCAAGACTAGATAATATACTGTTGTGCGGCTTTTCCTGCAGCCTATTGTATTGATTTGAGTATTAAAGAGAGCATTTTTAAATTAAGATTCTTGATCTGTAATGATCATAAGCGATGCTTTATATCTTGATATCCAATGCGAATAAAGTGATGTTATAGTCCACCCTAAAATTTTCTGTCATAATATAGCTTCTGGCCATCTCATAAATCTGCCAATCATAATCAACCAATATTTCATACCTTTGCTGATTTGTAGTGGTTTAGTCAAATCAAGATAGGTGTGTTAAAATCTTTGATCTTCTTCTTTAATCTCCTGGAATCAGATTCTATGCTATGAACTTTGATGCTGCCTCCGATTCTTCCGATTTATTTAACACTTGCGTACGAAAACCGTTCATGCGGCTTGGCAGTGAACGGAAGAAGAAGGAACAAAAGAAAAAAGGCTGATTCTACAACATAAAACAAATCCTCATGCTCCACACTTACATTGCGCATGCGTTTCTCATATAATGACTCATGTAGTGAGTGGCCCGCTGGCACCCTCTACAGGGTGGTTTAAAACAACCTGATGTCCTTGAAATGTCATTTTTGAGCGAATTCTGAGACGATCTTTTCTTTTACAAAATTTTATCCGAAGCTTATTTTTTGAGTTATACCGCGTGCAAGATATCCGTTCTCGCGAGAGCCTCTAGCAAGAAGCTCTACAAGATTTCCGATACGCGTCGAAGGCAGTCAACAGGACATTTTGAAGATTTCCGTCGGAGTCGCGGAATACGTACCGTCGCTCGCTCCTATTATTCAAAATTAAACGAGTATTGAAAACAATCTGCAATCGAGTATTTTCTGAACATCTCCTTATCCTCCAGCGGATTTACGGATTCGCGTTACACACCGCTTCTCGCTCATCTCTGAGCGTTTCTCAAGATTCGGGCGATCTCGTCGAGGTCGACTCCCGAACATAATTGAAAATAGTTAGCTACTTATGAATTCGGTACAACGGACAGATAAGAATGGCGCAACACATCACGAGACTCACTTTACAATTTCACAGCGAATATCACTGGAAGTATTATTGTGTTTACTACAGTACTTTATTATCACTCGCAAATATCAATTGTCACACAAATTAAGGCATAAAATTCCACGATAAATGATATCTATTGTAAAATTGTGAAGTAAGTCTCGTGACGCGTTGCGCCGTTCCTATCTGCCCGTTGTACCGGACTTGTAAGTAGCTAACTATTTTCAATTATAACTCAAAAACTAGGCTTCGGACAAAATTTTGTAAAAGAAAAAATCGTCTCAGAATTTGCTCAAGAATATGACATTTCAAGGACATCAGATTGTTTTGAATCACTCTGTATATCAGATATAAATATATTGTTGCGTCCCTGCGGGTCGTCTAAGACGGTTATTCATGAATCTGCTGTATTTGTATATTAATAAGTAATATACTGTTGCGTTCCTGCGGGTCGTCTAAGGCGGTTATTCATGAATCTGCTGTATTCGTCTCCGGGAGAACGTTGCTAAGCGTTGTTGTTAAACAACGTCGGACATTTTGGGAGAGATCGGCCATCTTGAGTCTCGCGACGGATGTCATTCCGGGCGGACATATTTGAGATACGATTACCGTTATTACCCGTTCTGTGTTCCTTGTTCATTTGTGTGTTCTGTGTTATTATTAAAGTTCCTTTTGTTCTTTTAAAAGAGTGTTAATCATTTACGTCGCGGTATTCGAGTGCTGTTTGTGTCGCGCGTGTTCGAGTATTATCGAAGTCGACGCGCGGACGCAACAATATACTCGTATATTGCTCTAACAATATCATACGTCTTATCGTCGCCATACTGAAAACTCGCTCAAAACTGTAGCGGGATTGTAAGCGCCCCCAATAATACGGTCCACAAATTTAACGGCCTTTGTTGGTGTCCAGACGGCTCGTCTTAATTAGAATGATTTTATGCTGATGATTTTCTGAGATGTTGTCGAAACCTGCTATTGATCGCCGAGGTATAGCACGAGGAGTGCTTCTTTGGCGTCTGTCAGAAGCGCGGCTCAGCATAGTCCGGGCTCCTCGCGCGAGGATCTGCTTGAAATCCCTGATGCCACGCAACGCGCGCGCGAGTTCTGGTCACGCTATAACGGGCTGATCTAATATGTTCAAATATTTAGCTATCGAATCACTCGATTCTTGTTCTCTGAAAATTGCCGGTGATTGACGATACAATTCCTCTACTTTGTCTGGCGTCCTTGAGCCGTAACGAGGTTTATAGCAACAAGTCACTCGATGATCTTTCCTCGTCGGTGCTTATTCTAGCGTTGAGGCTCCCGGTATTATATAAAATAAAGTAATCAGAATTATGATAATTGCCGGAATATAATTTTAATTAAGCCGCCCCTCTGGAGATTTTGGCATGGTATTTCGCAATTTTATTTTTTTATAATTATCGCAATTTTCGTTTAGCGCAGCCGCTCAACACATGTTTCGCGATCATGTGGGGAGGGGAAGGCGGATGCACAACGTCACATTTCTTTTGCCCGGAGAGACCGTATCAGTGTCGATCACTCTCAGTATTCATATACTATCACTTTAAGTTTTAAAAATCTCGGTTCGGGTGTTGAAGAGCGATCGAAGCCTCCAGAGATAAGGCCAGACCATAAAGAGAACAATTTCCAACATGACAGACGTGATAAAGACGAATGCGATAATCCAAAGGAACCAAATTAGCGAAGACTTCTGTCTCTCTGCAGTTGGGACGCCAAAACGCTAACGCAAAACTTTACGAACCCACGGCTTCACGATAGGGTGCAGTCTGTCACTCGCATTTACATCGCGAGAGAAAAGAGCGTAAAGAAAACACATTGACTTATTGTTAAAGTGATTATACCTTCGTCTTCGACAGCACTAAATGCAATAGGAAATCCTAAGAGACGAAGTGAGCATTACACGTTATGGCAAAATATGCCGATATAGTTATCTGTCAACAACACGCGCAGAGCTCCCCAATGGTGAACAATTAATTCGTCGATAGCTTTCCGGATCTTTTTACAAGATCGCCCTATGCAGCGGGCAACACTCTATCCATTTTGTTAAAAGATCTTGTAACACGAAGAAGTACACGTGGCCATTCCGGCTGGCTGGGAAAGCTCCCATATTATTTGCAGAAATTATTGTCCATGGAGTTTTAACTTTTCTCCCCATTAAATCGACGGGGACATCTTACTCGATTTTTATATGTTGGCCAACGTCACACATCCAAATACACTCACAATTTCTCTGAACATTTGCGGCCAAAAATATTGCATGGCAACGTACTGGTACTTTTTCTCGACGCCAAAGTGATCAGTTTGAGGCATGTTATGTCTTCTTGATGATATCAAAACGCACTTTCTTTGGAAGCACGAGCTTCCACATTTTTTACCATTTGCAACATTACATACAGCGTTTGATCTCCAAAAATATAATCGATCGTCCTGAATTCTCCATCCCGGATATTAACACGGCTGTCTTTATTACTTACTTTGCGCGTGCGCATCATATTACTCGTCACCGGTCACCGCGGTAGCGCACAATTCCTCGGCGGGCTTATAAATTTGCGGCAGCGCATTGGAAACGTGATGCAACATTTTGTTATGCTTTGGGTGAGGCATGGGATTTTCGGGATTGTGCGCCGGATTAGAATTGGGAATTTTGGGAAATTACGCTTAGAAATACTCACCAGTTTTATAGCAGAAATAGTAGTATATTTGTAATTTTCTCTAATATAGTTTGTTTAATGGACTTCTCTAGTATAATGTTTTGATAATCCTTACTCCGGATTATGTCTCGCGTTTATCACAGCATCGGATGTCTTCGCGTGTGTGGGACTTAGATTACATGACAACTCGCGAGACTGATGCGTGTCCGTAACTCATAGTATAATTCACAATTTGGTAATTACGAATGCCTGTCTTATAGCGCACTTATAATTTAAAAATTACGACTGCCCGCCGCCCGTTCGCGGTGAGTGATTTTATTGTCTCCCCTTCGATTATTTATTGATTGTCTTTTTGACTGACTTTTCACTAAAGACTCCTGTTTATATTCCCATTTTAGTTTACGCCCTCTGTTAGACCGAAAGTCCAACAAATAAAAGTTCTTGTTAGATTATGTCAGGACTTTTTCTTACCTTCTTTGTTGAGTAATTAGAAAAATGTAACAAATGATTTTATTGGGTTTGTCTGCGAATATAATAAAAGAGCGTCTCCCAAAAGTAGGAAAGCCTAGGATTCTAGGTGTCAGCGGCGACGTTTATGCACAAGTTATATTTTAACTATGTGCGCGATGTACTTGTTAAAGATAAGGGGCTTGACTTTTACTACCTTCTTATGACTATGATAATGCATATGTTGCCTTTATCAGACGACTGCACGTCCCGTTTCGCGTGATTTAGTTTTTTCTTCGTAATTGTCTTTTGTTTTTTTTTGTTTTTTAGAATTTTAGGTTTTTTAGATTTTATGAAGTTCATTGTGGTGGGATTCATTAGTTTTGTCTAGCTTTCCCAAACTCCGCTGTCGTCTAGTCGGCATTGAAATATGAATATTAAATGTAACCGGATGTTGCAGTCTCCGAAATCTTACTATTTTATGATGTTCAAGTATTTAAATGATATTTTCTGAGTGGTATTTTCCGACTCGCTTGCTATATTTTGATTAATGCATTTTTGACGTTTATACTTTTCTTAAAAACCGTGCTTGAATCGTAGGAAAGAAAAGAATCGTGAAGTTCACGACACAGCAATATTTAAAAAATATTATTTAAAAATAAGAATTTTTATAAGATATTTATTTATTTTTCAGTACTACATATCTTGGAGATATCTTATAACAAGCCGATAGTAGAGGGTCAATCATATTCACATCTGCACGGTGTGATGCAACTGGCACTAAGTTATATTAGCATAAAGGATCGACACACACAGTTAGCATTAATAGATGTCAACAAAGATCTGTTTTTAATTGCAATAAGGACTACAGGTTTCGAGAGAGTTTGCAAAATAGGTATGAATAAATATATATATATGGTGACCTGAAAATCTTCGAAGCGCCTTACCACAGAAAAATTATTACTAGCATATTGTGGTCCTCTTGATGCCGTACAACTTTCGTAATTAAAATACGAAGATCATTTCATAAGTAATACACAATGTGGTAACGCCGCGGATTGGATGATGGAATCCCAACGAAATTTTTAGGCAGAGTAGTGGAGATTTGAAGCAAAGATGCATTGTCCAGGCGAGTCTGTTTTTGTGCAGCAGTCAAAAAGTAAGAAATCCATTGAGCCGAAATTTTTCTTTTCTGTAAATCGTTCGTCAAAATACGAAATACTGTCTGATCACCATAAACTTTACGCAAAGCATTGTGAATGTCCATTGGATTTTTGGCCACGTAAAGTTTCAATCTTTACGATCGTTGATCTTCACGCGTCACAGTATCTAAGGCGTCTGCAGAGGCCCTTTCTAACACTCGTCAATTCACAATGAACACGCACTATAGAAGTTTTTAAGCCACGTATTGCTTCGTCAAATCCTCCATTACAACTGTTCATTTCGTTGGGATAGCATCATCCAATCCGCGGCGTTACCACATTGTACTTATGAAATGATCCTCGTATTTTCATATTTCTAAAAATAGCGGAAATATTCCAGATGGACAAAGTTATTGCTCCATTCTGTACACACACAGAGGCGCGCGCGCGCACACACACACATATATACATACAATGTACTGCGACGACTTTTACTTCCGTCTCGCGGTCAAACGATAGACGCGATCGCCGTTCCGATCTCTCCGCGGATGTACGTTGCGCCGTCGAACAAGAGCTAATTCGCCGAACGGGAGATGCAGGATAGTCGTTGACAAAAACGAAACGGATCGGATAAAGAATAACGCGCTGGGTAGGAACGGGATGTTAGGAGTTCCGTGCGTACCGTGACGAGATCCGAAAGATAATCGCGAAAGTCGAACTTGGGCGCCAGATACGATCTTTCACGTATCAATTCGCGAAACGCACGAAATAAGCGCGAGACAGCCGCGAAAGAAATCGTCGGGATTCGCCACGGGCTGATTAGCTCGCCTAACGGTAGAGGGGCAAGGCGAGTGTTGATCTAACGCGATAATTTATGCAAGAGGCGACAGATATCACAAGGAGCGACAAACACAACTGAAAATAAACTCGATAATTAAACAAAGAAACAACAGATTTATTATAATAGCGGGAGCCTAAGCTCCGTGAGAATAGCAATGATAAAGACTGCGCGGATATTCGGCTGCGGTAAAAAGAAACGCGGGGGCGAGACTGGATATTAGACACGGGGCGCGAAACCCCGGAGGATGTACGCTGCTGTCGGCCCGTAGATCGGCCGTAACTCTTTCTCAGCGTTAACTACGCCTCGCACCGCGGAGTTGACAAATAATTAGTTACGATGTTGATTCGGGAGATAACCCGATTCGATTCTCGATATCAATCCGTTGACGGCGACCATATCGCCCGCTATGGTTACTTACAAACTAACGCGCAACCTATAACTAACAAGCAATTAACGCAACGCGAACATACTTAGATTCGGACAGACGCATCAAACACTCAGCACACGCTCTCGCTATTCCGACGAGAATCGCGAGGACACTTACATGAAACTCGAAGCACATTCCCTCAATTCACGCAATGATCGCGAAAGAAATTCACACCAAGAGTGTACGCAAATTTTAGACGCGAAGATTCCTAAACGAAATACAAAAGGACATAATTCACGCAACCGACACACACACTCGGACGACGGACATTTTATACAGTCGAGACTTACGCGCTAAACGTGCGAGAACCGACATACGCAGTACACGGAATCCGAATCTCCAGATAGACGACACACGGTTTATTAAAACGCGAGGTAATGTCTCGATCCGCGGAAACCGATACTCTCGAGGCTCCGGGGCCCGAATCGCTTGACGACATGGCCGTGATGCGAAAAGCTACACTAACGAATCGGGCTTCGCCCGTACACCAAGGCACGAATTCACGGCGACAACGACAGAGCGGAACGATTTCCGGGCGCGATCGCGCGTGGTTAAATTGGCGGAGGATAACCTCATCGGTACTTTTCCCCTCGTCGGGAGGGCCCGGGGTGATGACGTCCTCTCGCTTCACAGGTGGTCCGCCCTCGGAGAACGCCGAGGTCCTCTCCGTCCGCAGCCGCAATCGCTCTCGCCAACAAGAGATCTCTCGCTCTCGGCTTGCTCTCGAAACGCTCGCCCGCACTCGCAGGCTTGCGCCAGTCTGACCCCGGATCATTGCGATCCAGAATCGATACCTGTGGGCCAGCCGGGGCTGCGCACACGGGGTGCGTATTATCGCGACCAATCACGCGTTATCACGCGCTGTGGCCGGCGGGCGGCTCGCTCACGATCGTATTAGGGGTGCGCGCGCCCTCGTTATTGCGAATAATATTTTGCTGGGGCCCGCTCAGCGGGCCCGTTGCAGGGTTCAGATCGTACGGCTTGGCCGGAAGTAGGATTATGACCGTCGTGGCTGTCTTTTCCTGCAGGCCGCGTCCCGCCGCGGCAGCATCCCTGCGGTACCTCCTCGGGGATCGGCTTCGCACGGTCCTGGGTCCTTGCGCGAGGATTCACTCGTTGTCTCGTGCGTCGCGCATCACGTGTGCACCTCCTGATCTCGTCGCGACGTTGAAATATTTCCGCTGCTTGTTTATATGGGTGAAATGCTGGCTCATCTCCCCTCGAAGGTCGCTCAGGTTTTATAAGAGATGCTTCCGGACGTCGAACTTCGATCTCCCGCCATCTCCTCCGATGAGGCTCCCAAATTAATTATTATAATAACGAAATTAATATCGGAACAAAATCTCGGTTAAAAACGCCTCTCTGGAGGCTACGGTACGATTCTCGCAATTATTCGACTGGCGCGGCCCTTTCGCCCGCGCTTTGCGTTCGGAGAGGGATTCGGCGGACGCGCGCGAGACGGCAACGTCACAGTATATGTATGTATATGTATGTTGTGTGTATATAAAAGTATATTATTACTAATATAATTAGAAATATCAATATAAAATTAGTAAGATTATAATAGTTTATTAATGACTTTCTTAAAGAGCATATGTATGTTCCAGCTGCAATGGCGCAAAATATTGTATGGGCAACTGATGCAAATGTATTAGCTGCAATGCTAGATACTAATTTGTCGGTATGGTTATGTCCTAATTGTGTTCATTATAGTGATCGCAAAGTGATACGGCGAACGCGAATTGATAAAGAAAGCAGGTACTGTTCATGATTTAAATAATATATTATTTTAATATTTGTAACAAATTGATAATTATTAGTGCATCGGATAAAAACGCATAGAAGGTCACACCTTACCGATTTAATTACCACTTGGATATGTTGTAGGGGAGATTGTTCTGAGTTAAAATTCCCCGCAAAAATCAAATGGGGAACAGCATTGTTTTAAAAGATAACAAATTAAAATTTGGCAATTTTAATGCTTTTCCTTAGGTATTTTATTACAAACAGTGACGTTTATTTACATCCTACTGACCTTCTAACTAGAAAAAGCTTTTGTTTACATTACTTAAAGGATTAATGTTTATGGTGTGAAGCAACTGCCGATTTAAATCGTGAATGTATGCTTTTTATGTGTCACGCTGTAAGATATGAACAACGCGGATATAAAAAACAATATAAAGTATTGTGTAATTTTACAGTAAGTCCACTTCATAACACGCATGGTTCTCGCACTTTCATTTGAGCATACAAGATACATGTAGATTTATTGCATTGCTTTTTAATGACAACTCTCCTCGATACGCATTCTTCAAGGATGAGCTTAATATTCAAGCTCACACTGTTGTCAATTAGTCAAATTTTTGTAGCAAAGTATTTTTTATTATATTTCTACTTGGAATATGAATTTTTTGTTTTTGTATTTGAAAATTCTTTTTCAGTTTTGTCTTGATTAAATAGAAGACAATAGTGAAATATTAGGAGGAGAAGGCAATATAGTAGAAATAGATGAAGCTAAAATTGGGAAACAAGTTTGAGAAAGATCGATTTATTACAGGGCAGTGAATTTTTGGCGGTTTTGAGAGTGAAACAGAAATTGTTTGTCGAGTGTATGTCTGATCGATCAGCAGAGACATAATTAACAGTGATACAAAAATAGATCAAGCATGGTACAATTATTATGTGAGACTGTTGGAAAACATATAATTGCCTTAACACCGAAAGATATAAACATTTAATTGTCAACTATTCATATAGTTTCGATGATCTTGATACTAAATATAAAGTTCATACTTATAATATTGAGAGAGCATAGAGAAATACTCGTGGTAACATCTCACGATATGGCTTTCCCAAAAAAGATTACGCCGGTTATATCGTAGAGTTTCTTTTTAAACAAAAATTTTCATTTAAAAAACGTATAAAAAGCATTTTTTGATATCATGACAAAAGATTATCTGCCTTTGCCGTAATAAAAAATAAATAAATGAAATGTGTTTATACATGTAGCTTGTTGAAACTTTGGCATTTCCTAATTACTCGTGAGAATAATTAGTAATTGTGGAATGAAAAATTCACTAAGAGAGTAAAAAGATTCACTTAATATTGCACAAGACTTTTATTTATTCTGAATCTCTTCTTAGAAACTGTCGTAACTATCAATAGAAACAAGAGAAGAAGTTTTTCTAACTCATTACCAACTTAAAAGTAAATAATATTATATTCAAACGTGCTGACATCTGTTTTAAACTAGAAAAATAATAAAGAGAACTGAGAGTACATTTCTAACATTAAAAAAGTTGAATTAAACATACTTTTCTTAACATAGTTTATTTTCCTCATTTCTTCTCATAAGTTCTAAAATGAAAAGCATTATTTATCAAATGCATGGGGGTGAGGTCCAAACTCGTAATTGTTTGGCAATATTTAAAAATTATATATTCTGAATAATGCTTCATTTCTCGGAAAAAGGTTGGGTTAGGTTAAAATCTTTTGGATTGGAGATGCAGGAGGAGAGACTCTGTCCCTCCCACGTATGACAGTCGTAAACAGATTTTTACAATCAAAAAATAACAGATTATACCGTACACGAACTTTACTGACAAATTTTTTATATCCCCTAAACCAATGGCGCCTCTACTTAAGTTTTGCAGAAAATTACTCAGAACAACCTCCCCTACAACATATCTAAATGACGATTAAATCGATGAGATGTGACCTTTCATGCACTTATACCGTGCATCGAATACCTTTTACATAATTCTAAAATAGTCCCAGAGTCATTAAATGTTTCTTTAAACGTAAAGTCATTGGTTGACTTTACGCTTAAAAAAACATTGACTTGGTTACTTCTTTAGATATTTGAAAAATAATTTTTTTTTGTGACGAAATAGCGGGAATATATTGCATTTTATTGATTTTTTATTATTAAATGTATATATATATTTGTAGAGAATTAACTTTAAAACCAAAATTGAATTAAAATAATTTTTTTTAAATGAACTAAAAAATTATTGTCATTTATTGTTCTCTTAAAAGTTTAGTTCAATAAAAAATAGAATTTAAAAATAGTTTTGAATAGAATTTTAAGTAATTTATAGAGAAAAGAATATTTGATAGTTTTTGAACACTTTTTATCTAGCTATGTGGAAATAAGAACCAGTTTTTAAAACGTGAGATGTATACATTTTTTATTACTACATATGTTACGAGAGAATAATATTTTAAGATGTGTGTGTGTATGTGTATATATGTATGTGCGCGAGGGCATACGCGTGTGCGCATATGTGTGCGTGCATGTGTACGCGTGTGCGTGTGTGAGCGTGTGTATGTGCGTGCGTGCTTGTGTGTGTTCTACTAATATTCTTGACCTTAGTTTTAGCTATACCCAGACAGCACATGATATCATTTTTAAATATATTCTATACTTATATTAAATATACTATAGATATATACGTAATATGTACCAAGAACGTCCCTATACATCTTTTATAGTATATATTATTTCTGTGACAATGTTCTAACAGATACAAAAAATAGCGATAAATTTTTGTTGTGACACCTAGAAATCTACCTATATCAGCAAGACATTTTTTTGAGTGTATATTCTCAGGATATATTTTTGAGCACATATATTTCCTCTACTTACATGTTCCTCTACTTTACCGCTAAGTAGCGAAACATGACAAAACTATCTTATATTTAATCATATTCCGACACACTATAGATTATATGTTAAATTTATTAATAAAGATAAGAAAAAATATTTTTAATTTTATCTTACGAAATATTTTGATGGTTAAAAATTAACACCTGTTTTCACGACTGTAAACAATTAATTGTGATACTCTTTCATAAATATATAAAATAAACCGGTCTCTACCGTGAGAGGCAGCATGACAGCATATGAAGGCCAGAAATAGTACTCGTATTCTGTCTCTTTCTATTGGCGCGTGGTGAGGACTAGGAGAAGGTGAAGATAAAGCAACGGTCTAAATGCCTTCTTTCATGTATTCCTCTCATTCGCTTTTATTTCTACTACTCTTACTTAAGTAAGAACAGAAATAGTATTGTAGAGATCGCTGTCCTTCATAGTGCCACGCTACCTCTTACAGCAAAAGTCAGTCTATTCTATATAGCTATGTACTCTCTCTAACATATCAATACATTTCAATATTCAAAATGGAACCTAATGGTTATTGTTACTATAATTACTGATAGATTGCTACAATACTTTTAGAAATAATTCATTTCGTATTACTATCCTGTTTCATATTCTGATCTTTTCTTCTATATATGGTGTTATTTTATATTTTTATAAATCTAATTATTATACAAGGAATTACAAAAATATATCCGGAAATATTAATTAAAGAAGATTTATGAAAAATATATCGTTATTGTTATATTATTATTTTCGTTACATAACAGGTGTTCAGAACCACTAGATATTCTTTTAACTTATTTTGACTAACATGTGTGTGGACGAATTTTTTTAGTGAAAATATCGAGGAAAATTGTCATTTATATCATTTTTTAATTTATAATATTATATATATCTCTAATTAAAATTCTACTCTCTTTTCTAATTAAAATCTTTTTTTGGAAATAATGTAGAATAAAGCCTTTTCTGAATTTTGACAAATATGATCGGATTTCTCAGTAAAACTCTTTGTTGTGACTCCAACAGTGATAATCAGTCGGGGGAGCCCGTCCCTCATCACCCCTACCCCCAAGAAAACCGAAAAACCCCAAAAAATATCAAAGCAAAACGAGGTCCACCCCACAACCCAAACCAAATTTTAGTTTTAAATCAGAAATAGGTTTGGGTTAGGTTATATCTTTCGGAAGTGGAGCCCCCCGTAGGGGGCCGGAACCCACTGTGTTTACGCATATACTTTACAAAGCAAAGCAAGGTCCACCCCACAATTGTTGTGTAGACGGGAAAGTGTATGCGTGGACGCAGTGGGTTCCGCCCCTCTCCTCCCTTACGGGGAGCGCCATTTCCGGAAGATATAACCTAACCCAAACCTATTTCTGATTTAAAACTAAAATTTGGTTTGGGTTGTGGGATGGACCTCGCTTTGCTTTGATAATTTTTGGGGTTTTCCGGTTTTTTTGGGCGGTAGGGGGGATGGGCTCCCTCCACTGATTATCACTGTTGGAGTCACAACAAAAAGTTTTACCGAGAGATCCGATCATATTTGTCAAAATTCAGAAAAGGCCTTATTCTACATAATTATCCTTTTTTTGTTCGAAGGTGACAAAAACAATCAAAAGCCAACGCGATAATTTGTGCGCATATGTTTTATTATAATCAAATTATATTGATATTTTAACTAAGTGATAGACACAATCACAAAAAGCGTACGTTTTGGTCCTTTTTTTGGATCATTTTCAGTGCAATTACACATTAATGTAGTATATTTTATCGGGCAGTCTCTTTCTATCTTGAAAATCCGTTCCATACAACATTTACCTTCTGACAACATGGGTGACTCACGTGTTCTGCGTATTATTACTATTACATTTTTGATATAATATATTCCATATTTGATATAATATATTCCTTTGTAACTACGCTAAAGATGGTCCAAAAAAGGACCAAAACGTACGCTTTTTGTGATTGTATCTATCACTTATTGTTAGTTAAAATATCAATGTAATTTGATTATAATAAAACATATGCGCACAAATTATCGCGCTGGCTCTTGATTGCCTTTTGTCTCCTTCGTATGATATATTCACAAGAGCTTTTATTAGTTTATTAAAATCGTTTTCTATATTATATAATATAGATAAAGTCTATTTAAAACTTTGGTAAACCTGCATTTATTAAAGTTTCTTCATTAATAACTTTTTAATAAACTACGAGCCACGGCTATGATCTTTTGAAGGTCACTCAGGATGATGACCTTGACAACATATGTCAAGGTCAAGATCATACGAGAGGGTCCCCTTTTATGCAGGTTTACCAAAACTTCATTTATAAAATATTATCTGCTGATTTATATTTGCTTTGCTAAATTTTAATTTATACAAAATTCCTTATCTTGTATTATTAATTACTTCAATTATAAATACCTCTATAGTTTTACTAAGAAAAAATTAATTTCAAGTTGCTTAAAGAATATGCAATGAAAAAAAATATTACAAAATATATAATATGATATGATATATACAATTATTTATTATATCAAACCAAGACTGACAATCTATGCTCTTCTTGTACAGTATATAAAATCTTATTCATATTGTATTTAATTTTATCTTCTATAATTTAATCTTTTGGTTTTTATTTCCGCATTTTAAATTTTATTTTAATTATTTTCATTAATATATATTCTTTTCATAACGCAGTGAATTTGGAAAACAGCCCAGCATTGTCAGTGTTCGTAATGGCATGGTCATGGTTAGACGTGGAGATGGTGCTATTGTGGCTACCTTATTTTATAATTTATTTAAAAACTTATATGAACATACATCAAACAAAAGATTGAAAGAAGCGCTTTCTATTTGTCGTATAGCTCAGGTAATATCCTCCATACAATATATATATATATATAT